ATCCCCAAAACCCTAAACCCTAAAACCCCAAGACCCTAAAACCCTAAACCCCAAAAACCCTAAAACCCTATAATCTCAGTGGTCCTTGCATCAGAACCCTGGCAGCACTCCCGTTGTGGAGTGGCCATGGAAAAATGCAACCATGAATTACTGTTCGTTACTTTGTACTTTCAGAAGGCACAGCACTCAGCGGGTGTCGTCGGCAGTAGGAAAACAAGTGTTCAATGTTCCGTGTGCAATGTCTTTACGCCGCTGCTGTTTTGCGCCAACTGTGAAAGGGAAACGCCTCACTCTCCTCATACGCAGAAGGTTCCCTGGCAAATGACCTTTGACACAGGAGAGACAAGCGTTTGGCCTGGGTGCACGCTAAGGCTAAACAACCCAAGGCCGTCGACCCTAAACCCTGAACCCAAGTGCCTCTGGACGCGTATCCCATGAATGGGTGTAGTCCTGACCAGCCACTCTGGGTCAGCAGATTTTAACAGGGGCAGTGATGTCGGCGTGAACGCAAACTTTCTGTTAAGAACTGAGGGACCTCCTAAGGACCTCAACTGACGCTTGAAGTCCTGGGAATCCAGGGGCTCGAGCTCTACCTGCGGAAGATACCTGAGATAGCAACACAGTGGCCTGATACTGAAACGGAAGGAGTCTAGTGGCAGGCAGCTCACCGGCTCAAGTCCAGCTTGGACTTTGCAAAAAGCTGCTGAGCCTGGCCAGGTTTTTTGGCGATGCCACCATACCCCCGCATGTTCAGCTAGTTTCTCATACAGCCCCTCTCGGCGTGGAGGAGGTGAGGCCTCCTCAGCATTGCCAGCTTCAATTGCCTGCTCCATTTTCTCCACCTGCACATGACAAACGTTGTCTTGCCATGCACACTCCATGATGCCTGGACACACACACACATACACATACACATACACACACACACACACACACACACACACACACACACACACACACACACACACACACACACACACACACACACACACACACACACACACACACACACACACACACACACACACACACACACACACACACACACACACACACACACACACACACACACACACACACACATCCACACCACACAACCACACACACACCCACACACACACACCACACACACACACACACACACACACACACACACACACACCACACACCACACACCACACACCACACACCACACACCACACACCACACATCACATACCACGCATCACACACCACACACCGCACACCGCACACCACACACCGCACACTGCACACACCACACACACCACACACACACACACACACACACACACACACACACACACACACACACACACACACACACACACACACACACACACACACACGCGCAACTTCGAGAGATTTCAAACCTTCTTCGCAAAGGATCGGATGATCTTGACCTGCCACATGCTGTCAACACACAAGGCTAAAACGTACGAGCAGAAGTGGCTCTGAAGCCATGGCGCCTGCGGCAGGTATTCTGGAATATCCTCGGCGCTATATCTGAAAGCTCCAGCCTCAGTGCCAGTCTGAACTATGCGTGGCCAGTCGGCAGTGTCCTCAACTGGGCATCCTGCCAGCAAGTCACTGGCAGTTTTGAAGTCAAGCCAGCGAGAGGTCCTCACGAGGACTTGGGGCTGAGAAGGTTCTCAAAAATTCGCCTCGGCTTCCTGCCGAGAAGCGTCTGGAACAAGCAGACCCGGATCGGGCCTCCTTCCCCCTAACCCAACCCTTCCCCCTATCCCAAATTTTCTGACGCCACCCCCCCCCCCCCCCCCCCGCCCTGTGGGACCCCCCCCAATCCCTTGGAGGAGCTGCAAACCGATGCCGTGGAGGGTCCCGCTTGTCGTGGCTCCTACAGGGGAGTGCCTCAAAACCCCCCACCCCCCCCACCCCCCCCCACCCCCCCCCCCCCCCCCCACCCCCCCCCACCCCCCCCCCCCCCCCCCACCGCCCCCACCCCCCCCCCCCCCACCCCCCACACCCCCCCTACCCCCCCTCACCCCCCCCACCCCCCCCCCCCCACCCGCTCTGCCCTTCCTCCCTTTTTTTGTGAAACCCTCTTTCCTCCTTTCCTGTCCTGGGGCCGGCCCGGTTGCCGAGGCGGCGCGCGCAAGCGCTTACAATTATAGCCACGTGAAACGAATCTCGAGTGCTGTGGTCCATCGCATCCATGGTCCTCTTCTCTTTGGTTTTGCATTTTGCGCCAAAGCCTGGACAGGCAAACAACAGTTATCAGAATCGCACCTGCAAATGTGCTTGCAGATGCACTTGGAGCGCAGCCACAATTCTTGATGTCTTCCCCACCCTTCACCTTGATGATGTTCTTGCCTCAGCTTTCAGACTCAGAGTGGCAGAACGAAAAACCCAACTTTGCAACCACAGACTGCTCCATCCTGCACCTAGCTGACCTAGCTGTGACTGAGGCTGAAGAAGTCCTCGATCTCCGGTGCCTGCGGACAAAACACTGGCGCTTCGCCCTTCCACACAGGGTGGCTCGGGGCCGGTGTGAAAAGACTCCGGCCTTCAAATTGCCCGCCTTGATGGCCGGCTCCATTTGCAAATACCTGCTCAATGCATCTTTCTTTGCCCTTCCCAACTGCATAATTTCATAGTCTACCCGGCTTGAGATCCAGGCTGGTAGAGGCCCTGGCGAACGCGCCCGTAGAACCTGGATCCCCGAACGACGCAAGTTGGAGCCAGATCCTCTCGTGGGCTCGCCAGCCTCCGCTTCCCCGACGGGATCGTGGAGTACTTCCCGGCCTGAAGATGGCAGAGATGGCAGCTATGGCAGAGTTGGCAGATAGCAAAAGCGTGGAGAGGCAGAGACATCGCAGCCGATTCGCACCAAGGCTGCGGCGGTTGATCCACCGCTGGCCAGAGCTGGTTCAGCCTACGGCCGTGAACGTAAGTTTGACATCTCATACTTGGACTCCCTCCAAGCATCTCCAAACGAGACGCACGAGGCAGCCAAGAGCATTTCCCCTTGCTTCGCCATGCTTCGCCTGCATCGCCAAGCCGAGGCCTTGCAATTTCTCTTCGACTCAAATGGCTGGTGCTATCTGGTGCTGCCACGAGCTGCCACGTGCTGCCCACGCGTGGCTGCCAAAGGCGAAACAAGGGTTTCGGGTTTAGGGTTTAGGGTTTAGGGTTCAGGGTTTAGGGTTTGGGGTTTAGGGTTTAGGCTTTAGGCTTTAGGCTTTAGGGTTTAGGGTTTAGGGATTAGGGATTAGGGTTTAGGGTTTAGGGTATGGGGTTTAGGGCTGTGTCCTTCTTTTCCTTGTCTTCTTGCGTGGTGACGGGTTTGTCTTGCTCGCTTGCATCCATTCATGCATGCCGTGGGTTAACCACTGAGCCGAATGAGATGGAACTGGATGAGGTGATTTGCTTTGGCAAACATCATCCCAACGACCCCACGTTTTGCATCAGGCAAGATGCCACAGAGATGGTTTAAGTTCAAGTGAGCAGTAGGGTGTGACTCCCCACGGCTGGTCCCAAGGCTGCCCGGGAAGCCCAAGGGATAGATAAGTCGGATAAGCAGGGTCGATGGTGTCCACTGATGGCCACGCCATGCTTAGCGAGGTCAGTATTATCAGAGAGCAGAGCTGCCGCAAGTGGCATGCTTGAGAGGAATATCCCCTGAAATCTTCGCATGACATTTCAAGTAGCAGCAACAAGACACCCAGATCTTTCAAGGTCAGCTCAGGAACAACGCTTACATCACCTGTGGGCGCTTATTTTTGCTTTTAAGGTGTGTATGTATAACGGCTTCTAAGCACCATGTAAGCACCTGTTAAGCGCAATGTAAGCACCATGTGATAAGACTTGAAGCCGCTATGTGAGCACCGTGTATGTACCATGTAAGCACCACGTAAGCACGATGTAAGCACCATGTAAGCGCAATGTAAGCACCATGTGGGCACCATGTAAGTACGATGTAAAGTAGCTCGCGCCTGCCCCCTATGTTGGGAACACCGGGTTCAGAACACCCTGACTGATGAAGACCTCCCAACTACGGCACACATGCGCAGACAGCTTGTCTTGCATGTGAGCCTTGAATGGCAGATATCAAAAATATCTTTGTTTGCATGGTAACGACACCAGATTGCAAGACACCAGCAGCTGCCTTCGACCCTCCCTAAACCCCAAACCCTAAACCCTAAACCCTTTACCGGTGAACCCCACGTGCGCTGTGTGAGGCGAAGGCCCGCCAGGCCCGCACCGAGGAGTTCGCGGCGGGCAGGTGCCTGCGCCCAGCTGCAGGCGGGATCCTCTCTGCCCTCGGTCCCAGCAGAAGGCACCCTGCCTGCGGAAGAACCCATGCCTGGGACCCACATCGGAGCACAAGGAGCGAGGAGAAAGGCAGCCCCATGCAGTCCCATGCAGCCCATGCAGCCCCATGCAACCCCGTACAGCCCCGTGCAGTGCCGCACCTGGCTGCACACGCCAAAGCACCAAGTCCTCATGTCAGGACTATGCTGGTAAAGACGGACAACTGCAAACAAAGGCAGACACACAGCAGCTCCCTCACCATCCCTTGCACCCTCAACCCTCAGTGCACGACGCGGCCACCGCGGCTGCAAGCGCCTGCAGGCCCACTGCACAGCTCCCAAAAGCACCACCACGTGGACTGCATCTCAGTATACAAACCCACTCTCCGTGATTCTCGCCGCCTGCAACCGCGTGGTTCGCGTACGGAAGCTCATCACTCCTGACAAACTGCACAGAGCGGTGGAAAAAGAGTTGAACATCCTACAAGTACAACAAGAAGTTACACAAAAAAGGCGACTCAATGCCATTTTAAACCCGCCTCCGCTCATTTCTACGTACACCTGTCACTCTTCCTAAGCAGAACTCTCGGGCGCCCTACTGGATTTGTACATGACCTCATGCCCAGGAACGCGTCGATGCTCTAATTTGCCCAGGTGCTTTGCACCGAGCCAGGGAATCGTACAAGGCACTCGGAGAAGCCGTCATCGCTCAGTCTTGCGACCCAGCTGGTGCCGGATCCTGCGGCTTCTCCTCGGCGGTCTCTTCTGCTGCGGCCTCGTCTGCCGCGGCCTCCTCTGCCGCGGTCTCCTCCCCGGCTGTCTCTTCTTTGTCGGCATCATCTGCTTGTGGTTCTGCCTCGCCCTGCTTGCGCAACTTGGAACCGATGGCATGGGATGTCTTCAGCGGAGACACCATCACGACTTTGCCTACGGACTTGATCGTGAGTTCTTGTTCGCTTGCGCCGATCTTCAACTTCTCACCCTTCTTGACAACAAGAGCACTTGTCACCACAATATCTTTGTCGCCTGGCGCAGCATCCTTGATGAGAGCTCCCTTCTGATCTGCATTCTCCGGAGGGACCTTGACGATAGCATCTCCAGATGTGCAAGCATCTGCTAACCCGTCGACCACGGTAATGGCAAGGCCTACACTCTCGATCGTGATCGACTCCTTGCCCAAGAAGACCTGCTCTTTCTCTTGCAGGCCTTCAATGCTGGTGACGTAGAGCTGAGTATCCCCTTCCTTGCCTTTCTTCATGAGGCGCTTGGACGCCGCTGTTTGCAGCCTCTGCTTCACTCGCTTAGAAGCAGCTGCCCAATAGAAAACGCAGAATCCGATGCAGCCAAAGCCGAAGAGCAGCAACATAATCCCGACGATCGCATCCGATGCGGATCTCTCCTCTGCACTGGGGACTTGGGATGCCTCCGTTGCGCTCCCGCTGGCAGGCTTTCCATCTTCCGCCTGCAGGGAACGATCACGTGCGCCGATTGTGTTTCTCATGAGCGACCCGGTATGTGTGAGGGGCTCCCTTGTTACTACCCGTACGGTTTCGGATAGTTACACGCACAATTTCTGTGCATTTTGGCAAGCCTGCGCATTATTTTTTCCGGTTAGCCTCCTTCTCCTCCTCTTCATGGACCTTGTCGAAGATGCTCTGAACAACCTTTACATCATTGGCTGTAATGTCCTGAGTCGCTTTCACCAGTCATACATAACGGCTAAGCTCAAGAGCGGTATGTGTATGCCACATCTTGCATGGAGCTGTCTGCCGTTCGGAAATTAAAGCTACACCTCATGATTTGCGAACTCACTTGCGTGAAGCTGGCCTAGGAATCGCATCGACGGCTCCCCTGTACTTTTTGTACTCAGCTCATACTGAGACAGAGAGATGCAGATCAGGCAGAAGCCGTGATTCTTATTGTCTGGGTTGTATATTGGCTACCCCAACCCATGTATGAAGTCTGACTCTAGGTCTTGGGCTTAACGTGGTTAAACTAGGAATCCGGCAGGAGGGTTTGTATATGGCTGGGCAAACATATGCAAATGTGCACAAAGAATTGAACCCTTAGAATGCTTGAAATGCAGGAAAAAGAGCAGCGACGACGGAAGGCCACGCAGGCTCCAGAAGGAACCAGTTGCAGATGACAGAGGAAAACACAAAAAAAAAAAGAATGATCATTGGGCCCTGTTTTTCAGCCCAAACAAGCTGCCGTGGAAACCCTAAGCCCTAAACTCTAAGCCTTTAAAGCCTAAACCCCTAAGATTGTCAAGGCTCTGGATTGAGCAAGTCGGCTTTTGTCTCCTCTGGTGTCCTCTCTGCCTCAGCTGTCTCCAAAATGTGGATCCCTTCGGAGAACTCCAAAAAGAATACGGAGCCTGATACTCAGAATACCCAAAGTAGGGATCAGAATGTAGAGAACTGCCCACAAAGGTGCTCCTGAAAAACTTCTGGCATCAGGCTCGCGGGCGAACTACGTCGAAGCTTCACTTCAAGCAGTAACACAAAGCCTCCCCCAGACCCCAATTTATCCCACATTTCGTTCTGATTCAACTAAGGCGCGGCTGCGTTGAAAGCTTGCTTCGCCTCGGCCGACATGCCCCCAAAACGAACTCTCCTCGCCTTTTTGGCACTCTGGGTTCTTCTTATTCCTCTTCTTCTCATTCTTCTTCATATTATTCTTTCCTCTTCTTCTTCTTCCTCTTCTTCTTCTTCCTCTTCTTCTTCTTCTTCTTCTTCCTCTTCTTCTTCTTCTTCCTCTTCTTCCTCTTCTTGGGCTCCTCGGTCTCTCCCACTCTCTCCTAATCTCTTCTTCTTGCTTCCGGGCATGTGGGGGAGGCAGCCCGGGCGCCCGAATCCAAGGCAGGGATCCTCCAAACTCGCTTGCCGACGTTGCGGCCCCTCCTTTGATGCCCCCTTCTTCTTCTCTCTCCGTGCATCCAGGGAGCCGAAAGTGGGCCCTTCTGGGTGTCCTCTGTCGACACTCGGTCTCTCCAAAAAAAACAAACAATCCCAAACTTCCCTAAGGAGGAGAATTGCAACAAAAAGGGAAGGGGATCCGCTGGTAGTTTTACAGTGTCTTGTGTAAGAGTCCTGCTCCTTCTCGAACTTGCCAAAGCTTGGCAGCTCGAATCCGCCCTTGTCAATAAGGACGTTTGCAGTGTGAAGCTCTGCCCAGCTGGCCGCCGACAGGGTCACGATCACAGAGCCGGGCTGCGCATCTTTGCAGGCTACCGGCTTCAGCTTCGCAGAGCACTCTTGCAGAAATTGCTCGACGTTGTCGCCAATGATGGCTTTGAACTCTCCCGCGAAGCGCACCGTCTCCAAGACCTCAGAAATGTCAGCGTCACCAGCACGCAGCCGCGTTGCAGACTCTTTCGTTGAAGGCAAGTGGCCGGTTGACCGGAGGCTTGAGCGTGGAAGTCTGGAAACTGGCCTCATAGGATGCTCGGGGGGCCATCTCCAAAATAGGCTCTAGACATGTCCCCTCTAGGACTGAAGGTCATCTACGTGTTGCCGCAATCCGGACGAGGGGTCGACCTCCAAAGGATGACATTGGCAAGGAGAAGTCCTGTCCACCTGCACAAGAACTGCGCAAAAGGCTCTCAAAGCAGGGCTGCTGCGCAGGCCGCACAAGCACAGCGCCTGGTCCACGTGCCTCAACGACAAAAGCGCACACACAGAGACACAAAACAACCAGCGGCAGCGCCAGACACCCCCGTCTGCACACTCAAGCCCTAAACCCAGGAGGCAGTTTCAATGCTTGTCAGCCCAGGCACGCCAGGCCGCTGGACCAGGTGCGGCCTGAGGCAAAGCACAACCGTAACTTGGCGGACCCCGAGCAGGTCCTGCCAGTAGCGGTGCTTGAACAACTTACCCCCCGGGGTGCTGGCTGGATCAGATGGCTGGTGTCTCCGCCAAAGATTGCATCTGCCAGGGGCTTGCCTTCCCAAGATTTGAGTACAACCCCAGGCCAGACAGTGGCCAGACTCCAAAAAGCAAAAACGGAGCCTAAAGCACAAGGTGTACGGTGCATAACACGCTCAAGGACTACAAGGACTTGATATACAGAACCAACGCACATGACCGCTGCATATTTGCATTTGCATGTATATCTTTACACTCCTATGTATATGTACTACTATTCAGTTTTTTTTATGTCGTACAGTTACATTTATGTTTATTTATGAACTTCTAGATTTTACATGTGCCCAGCTGTTCACTTTTCATTCGCACGCCCCCACTTTTAAGGTGGGTGTACACCCACGCTCGGGGGGACCAACACAAGACGTGGCGAGGCACCGGACTTCAGGGTCGACAGCGCGTGGCCCATGATGGAGACCGTGGCATTGATGGCGTACTTGGCGGAGCCAGGATCCCTGAAGGGGTGCGAGGTTTAGGGTGTAGGGTTTAGGGTTTAGGGTTTAGGGTTCAGGGTTTAGGGTTTAGGGTTTAGGGTTTAGGGTTTGGGGACTATAGGGGGGTGGTGGGGGGTCCGAAGCTTTTGTACAGTGCCGGCAGAAGCGCTTGCCGATGCTAACTTGCGGCAGGGATCTGAGTAGCCACATCCAGCATGCGCTTGGTAGCTTGTTCCGGAAGCTCGCCCGTGTCCATACCTAAGGTTTCGCCCTTTGTTGCTATCGACACCCCATGCAACTTCATGGCTCTGTGGGAGCCAAGGTACCAAAGATGGCATCTGCAATCCTTAGCCGATGCCATATTATGAATGCTTCTATGCAAGCTTCCCATGTTCGTGCAGAAAGTGCGGTGGCAGTCCGGTCCATCTGCCGGCCTAGTAGAGTGTCAGAGTGACCATAGAATGAGAACATGGGAGATTTGGGCCGAGCCACGGCTTGCCGCTGGACAACTTGCCAACCACGCCGGCCAGCACCTGCTCATCCTTCACCATCTCATCGTAGAAGGTTCGCCTTAAGCGTTCGGGAGACATCTCCTTTCAGTCGAAGCCATGGCCTGGAAAGCTCGCACATCCCCCCCCAAATACGCCGAGTGGCAGCTGCTGGCGCTGCCGGTTCAGCGCTTTCGCAGCCTCGGCCAAGTGCGGACTCCGAGAAGACTCCGACTCTACGTGGGGGATTACGAAAATAAGGGACCCAGAAAAGGTAGACCCCCAAGTAGTAGGATTCCCTTGTAACCCCAATGAGGTACCCCCAAATTTCGGAAACACCCCTGTGGCTGCCAAGGACGGCGGCTTGCGGCTGAGTGCCAGGCTTCCTCCGGTCCGACGTTCAAGATGTCTCCGGCTTTGACATTTTGGTCAAGCGGTGGCAAGCTAAACCTCGCATGTGCGCAAGGCATCTTGGGTCGGGGGCTGTGAGGCGCATGTGGGGGTTGGCCATCAGTTTTCCCTCGCACGTGCAACCAGGAGGCTGATGTGGCTGGACTGCCTGCACAAGTGAGCAGCGTGTCACTCCGCATCACTGCAGACAGAATGCTCATGCACAGAGTCTTGCGTTGAGATACGACCACCCCCTCGAAGGGGGGGGGGGGGGAGTCCCCCCCCCTCCCCCCCCTAAAAATAGGTACCCGTACTTTTTCCATTTTTTTAATGTCTGGGGGGGGGGGGCGACTCTGACATGAGCACAGGTTCTGAAGATGCACGCGCTACACAAAGGATCCAGCATTTCCTGGAGCCGCGCCGTGCCCAACTCCGGTACCTATTTCTTTTTTCTTCCCCCCCCCCCCACTGTCAAAATTTAAAATAGGTCCCGGAAATAGGTGGCACTCAGAGTAACCCCCCCCGCCCCAGTACCATTACGAGGGGGTGGCCCTGTTGAGATGTGTCACTACGGGATTCGAGCCCCCGGTGTTGTGCCTTTGCGTCAGTGCAGTCGCATCCAGCTGTCATGAAGAACCAGGCAGTCCCCGGCAGCGCATCGCTGGCCCTGTAGCAGCCCGGCCCGTAGACATCTTGGAAGGTGCAGCTGCAGTCTCCCCCACATCGGGCTTCTCCGTAGGTGATGGTGTTGTCGAAGTTGCATTGCAGCTTGACATGAGCGCCGGCAAGGGGACCGGCGAAAGTGAGCGTAGGGCAAGTTCCGTAGTCGTTTGAGTAGTAGAGCTCCTCGAAGGTCGCACCAACCTGCCATCGGGAACACATGGCGGGAACACATGGCTACACAGACTCCTCCAGCACCTACGAACTCGACTTATCTGCGCCCAGCAACCATGTTCTCGGCCCCGCTGCCAGAGCAACACTCGTCCGGAACTCTGTCTTTGACAGATCGGACAAGGCAGGAGTGCAGAATCGGCGTGGCACCTTAGAAGGGTCTCTTTGCAAGAGTCTCTTGCAAGGGTCTCTTTGCAGGGGTGCAAGGGTGTTGTAGTGGCACGACATGGTACGAGTAGGTCATCTTCCAACACAAGCTCTACTCCCTAAAAACACATGCTGGGCTGCGCACTCAGGTTGTAAACCACCCACGTTCCTCTGGGAGCGCGGGTGCTGTCCGGACAGGCCCGTCGCGTCTGCACCGTGGAGGTTGTGAGAGGAGGTTCAGACGTCGGAGAGGCCTCAAGATGCAAGCTCAACTCGCGCACAAGTCAACAAGCTTGCTCAGACGATGGCTATCGTACTGTTGCCTTGACTTCTCATGGGGCTTACATTGCTTACATCGTCTTTCCGGCTTTGAAGATCATCGGTGCTGCTCTCGATGATTGTCGCTCGTGTCTCAGGCGCCGGCATTCCGAGGAGCATCCGTGACGATCACCTCCGTCTCGAAGGTCGCGCCGCTCGGCACTGGGGTCGTGGTGGTGGTCGCGGGCGAAACCTTCGCCGCCTTGGCCTTCACGGCTTCTACGTGGGCCATGCCGGCGGCAATCGCGGCATCCTGTGCAGCCTTCTTTGCCTCCTCCACTTCTCTGATCAGCACCTGTAGCTCTGGGTTTTCTGTGGTTGTTTGCGGAGGTTCTGTGCTCCCAGGCTCAGAGCTTCCGCTCATGGCAATGACCGCCTCCACCGCTTTTCCTGCCACTTCAGCTTGTTCGTCTTCGGTCATGCCTGCATGCTGTGCCGCTGCCATTGCCGTGGACCCTGCACACTCTGCCAGAGCATCTGACTGCGTGCCCGATGCTCTGCAAGCAGTCTTCACTGCAAGCGCCAGGCACTCCGTGATGTGATCTGCAGGCAGCCCCATGGATGTTAAAGCCGAGAAAGCTGCATTGCTCGCTGCCGTGGCAGTCGACGCCTGCGTTGCCTGCTCTGATTTCACCGCATAGGAAGCTGCGCGCCCTGCCTCCACGCAGCCTTGTTGCAAGGTGCCACCTGCTGTCTGTACCGCCAGGGCAGCTGCCTTCGCAGACGCCAGCGCCACCTGCTCGGAAGACCTGCCAAGAGCCCGCGCTGCTCGCGAGGCTGCGTCTGCAGCCTCCATGGCTTGCTGATGCGGCTTCTGACCGTTTGCACGCGCGCTGGCCGCGGCAGAGGCTCCTGCCGCCAAGGCCTTGTCATCGTCCGCCGCAAACGGTTGCCCAGTCGAACTCGACTGCAAAGGAGTTCCGGCGGTCTTGATAGTGGTTGTGGTGGACCTCTGCGTGGTGGATGGCTTCTTTGTTGTGGAGGTCGAGGTAGAGGGTTGTGTGGACGCGCGCGTGGTCACCTTTGTAGTGGTGGTACTTGAAGATGTGGTTGATGTGGCTACGGTTGTGGTTTCGGTTGTGGCTTCCGTGGTAGCTGGCTCAGCGGTGCTGGCAACCGCTGCTTGGGTGGTTTGCACCACCTCGGATGCACTGCGAGCCTTCGTCACATGAGAGAAGCAAAAAGCACTCACCTGCTGAAGCAGCCAAGAAGCTGTTGTGGTGCTTGTTGAAGACGCTGCGGAGGATTCAGCTCTCACGCCGACATTGTCCAGCATGGGGCATGCTGATCCTGCAGCAACCACAACGGGCAACCGACGGAGATTTTCCATGAAAGAGCTTAGTTCCCCACAAGAGTTCCCCTAAAAAGCAAGAGAGAGAGAGAGAGAGAGAGAGAGAGACCCCGTCTTCTCATAAAAAGCAAGCCCAGGAGCCGCCAGCATAGAAGTACAGGCGCGTGCCGGCATTCTGAGGCTTGAAGCGATACGGACCAGCTAGCGTCCAGGAGCCTAAGCTTCGCTCTCAAAGCGTCGCTCTCAAAGCTCAACCCGGGTGATCAGACTGAACACGAATGGTATTAAGAATTAATACTAGTAGTATTAATAATAGTAAGAAAGTAGCAATAATAATAATCATATAAAAATAGTATTAAATGATTCAAGAATGGGCCACCAAGGAGCCCTCAACCGGCTCGTAAGCAGATCCGCTGAGAACGACGGCTTCCTGACTGGCTTTGCACTGCGCCTGAACGAGCATCCTCCCAGTGCAGCTGAGGCACATCTAGCAGTGTGTTTCCTGGCGGTGACTGCACCTGAAGACAAAGGGCTGCTGTGAGCTGCGAGTTGCGGGATTGTTCTGCAACGCTCGGGCCGCCTCGACATGCAGCGTGCTAGATTGGTTGGATGCCTTCCGGTCCAGAAAGGCATCCTCCCAGGAAATCACAATATGCTCTACACGAACGTGCAATAAGAGCCAAACTTACCAAGCTGAGATGGGGGCAATTGCGTAGAACTGCAGCTCATAGCTCATGCCCTCGGTCGTGTTGAGATCCTGCATATTCTGTGTCTTTGCTATCCTCTTCCTTGAGCTGATCCAGGGACACATCCCTGTCCTGGTACACGGCCCCCCTGCCAGCAGAGACGAATGAGCGAATTCATGGAAGGAGCGTATTCATAGAAAGTAAGGAGAGCGTGGGCTACGTGACCCAATGGTCTTGAACACATCATCTAACTTCCAATACGAATTATCCGCCAGTGGCTGGAAAGCAGGCACGTAGGCTTAGGCGGCATACATGGTCAACTCTTGCATCGTTCTCCACGCCTCGTGTTTTTGAAGCAGTCAGTCAGCGATTTGATGCTCCAGACGTTCCCGCTCGTGTTGGATCCTCTGTGCGAGGCACCACTCCTCAGTCTCCAAATGCCAAAAACCCAGCGCTATCTGAAAAGAAGCCTTCATCGATGGAATGGGCTTCCCTGAAGGGTGTCCCTTTTTGGGATTCTGCTGTGAAGGTTTGGGATCCTGTCAAAACCTCATGTTGCAACTTGTCCATGAATTCGGCCCGGCTGCCAGAAGCCCCGTGTGCTGCAGGAGGTTCCTGCAATCAAAGTGCTCAGCTCGTTGAGGCCTCGTACTTGCTGCACTTTCAACCAATCACGCCCTGGCCTGAGACATCTGCCTCAGCAGCACCAGACTCACTGAAAGCAAGCAAGAAAAGAACAAACAACACCTGCACATCAACCAGGAGCTTAAGCCAGAAGCGTGTCCGCGGTACTCGCTCGACGGGCAGTCTTTGTTCCAGCCTCATCGTAGAATTCGTACTCATCCCCACCCCCCAGAAGCAGAAGCAAGACAGACAGCCAGGAGACCGGATCCCTCTTCAAACTCCGGGTTCCTCAGAGCTGAGCCAGATATGGGGGGTTTTGCGGTATTTGGAAGGGTACCTCATTGGGGTCCTTATTATAAAGGTATCCTACTCTTTGTCTTTGGGGACTCTATCAAGGGTCCCCGCATTTTTCGCAAACCCCCTTATCTGCTACCAGACAGGCACTCGTCCATGTTCGCACATGAGGGTCTCGGGCATGTCTTCAGGATCTACGAATAACCCTAACCCTGTGAACCCTAATAACCCTCATGACCCTGATAACCCCTACAACCGGTAAGTGCGACTGCGGCACATGACAATGTTGGGCGCGAGATGCTTCGCAGCCGGTGCATGATTTATCGCATGCAGAAGCTCCTTCCGAATTTCGAAGACAAGACAGAGCACTCACTCACACAGATGGTAACGAAGGAAACGCTGGCCTCCAACAAATCATCCTCAGCTTGTGCGACCATGTGCTGTGTCGAGTAGATCACTTGGAGCACTCACTGGCTGGCACAGCGTCCCGACTGCAATACTGCCCAGTCGTGGCTTAAGAATTCTGTTGAGATCTGTTGAGAGAGAGAAGTTAAGAGAGCTGTGGAAAGGTGAGGCACGTTTCTTTCTTCGCACCACCCACAAAGCACCACTAGCTCGACAACTGCAGTGGAGCATCCGCGAAGCCGACGGAAGACTTCTTGGCCTGGTATCGGCGGACTGCCTGGAGCGTGACTGTGAGCTTTGTACACGTCTCGTGAGCTCCGTGTCTCGTGGCAACGCATCCCTCGGGTGATTTCTGGGCCTTTTCAGCTTCGACGAGGTCCTGCCCAACTTCAAGCATACAGCATCTCACAGCACCCCAACTCCGAAGGGGGGAATCGGAATATGGGAGTCCTGCACGTCTTCATTGCTGTGGTCTTTCGCATCCAGCGAAGCTAGTGCTGCATCCACCTCTCTCCCAGGGAGGTTCTCAACACAGCCCCCAATTCAAGACACTCTCGGATGCGCCTGCTTCTCCCGATGTGTCGGTTCACGATGCTCTCTTCGCATCACCGGCCTCTCGCTCTCTTGAGGCCTTAACGGTGCGGCTAAGACAGCACACGGTTGATGACGAAGGCCCACCCCCCTTCTCTCCGCAAGGCCCTGGCCAGCTGTCATCAAACACAGTGCCATCCGCCTGGCTGCGACATTTTTTCATTAACAGACTAAGTTTCTTAAATACCTTCAGCAACTTCAGGCTTCTTACATACTCTGCCCTGCGTGCGCGCTTGCTGAAATCCAGGCAGGGGGCGGAAAGGCCAAGCATCTGCTCCTCTGCCGGTCGGTGAACTCTGATTCCTGGGAGTCGAAAGCACGGCTCGCTGTGTGTCTGCGATTGTTTGCGAGAGCTATCAAGAATTTAGGAACAGGCTTTCGTGGTGTTCGCTTTGCCGGCTGCCACTGAGCTGGCTTCCGTAACATGACCTGCCAAGAGTCGGACCAGCGGCAGCAAAGGCAAGCGCTGCTCTTCATTGGGATCACTTTCGGGGCGGTCCTTTCGGTACGAAATCCTGAAAGACCTACTCAACCCTAAACCCTAAACCCTAAATCAAGCCCAGCTCCCGGCTGCAGAAGAGTCTAAGACCCAACGGCACCCTGGAAAAAGGCGCCTGGCAGCCCACGCGCATAGAACGTAGCGGAGCATCCTGTGAGGTCGTCACCTTCTGTTCAGGGTTTAGGGTTCAGGGTTTAGGGTTTAGGGTTTAGGGTTTTAGGGTTTAGGGTTTAGGGTTTTGGGTTTTAGGGTTTAGGGTTTTGCGGGGTTCCGAAACTCGGGGTACCTTCTTGGGGTTCTTATCATAAGGGAATCCTAGTATTTGGGGATCTATATTGGGGGTCACCTATTTTCGGAAACCCCACATCGTTGGACTGGGTTCTTTGTTCAGTAGCTTAAAGTAAGTTAGCTTTGCGGTAGAAAGGCTACTGCATTGTTTACAATATTGTCTAAATAACCCAATGATGGTAACCTAACTTAAGCCCTACAAACCTAAAGAATCAAACGACAGTCCGAAGCTATCCAGGCAGGTCACGATTGCTTGGCTGTGAAGCTATCTTTGTGGTCTTGGTGCCGTGGTGCGGGACTCGGCACCTGACATAGGGTGCACTGCATCGTACTGCATCGTAAACCCTAAACCCTAAACCCTAAACCCTAAACCCTAAACACGCCAAAGATGCAGCCCAGATTCCGACGAGGAAAGAGTTTTGCAAATGTACTTCCTGGTAAGGAACCTTGGCCCCGAGCCAGGAAGACGGTGCATGTCTTGTGTGGTCAAATAGTCGATTCCCCCAAGTAAGCTCCCATGTTTGAGTACGACCCAAGACGGCGCTTTTCGTAAAACTAGGACCAAAATCTGGCTCTGAGAGCGTTGAACTTGTGAAACTCCGGGGTTTGCATGCTCCAGCTGGGGGTCTTGTTCAGGATCCGAATCCGGGCTTCATTGAAAACTAAGGTGACAATCTCCCCTTGTTTGCTGTTTGCACAGCTCTCGCACTAAGCTTTGGCAACACAGAGCTGGTTTCTGTCCGAGCTGCTGCCACCCGCACATGGGTGACGAGGCCGATTTGGGAGCCCAAACGGCTTTCAACAGAAACTCGCAGCGGTGCCCGAATCTTTGCCCACTTGTGGTTCAGGAGTGCACTAGCACACACTTGTCACAGCTCCCCTGCGCCCTTGAAAACAGCAGCCTGCCTGCCCGTGTGGAAACAGGACTACCCGAGTACCTCATGGACCGTGAAGAGTTGGGAGAACTCCAAGGATCGCGGCACTCAGCTACGAGGGCCTCGCCTGCCACCACGTGCCAGATCGGACCGAGCACCGATCCCAACTGTACAGTCTAATAACTGAGGGGTTCAAAATGCCAGCGACAGGGAGCATCGGATGCAGACTTGTCCCTCAAACCCTGCCCCATAACTTTGCGCCTGATGCAATGGGATGTGCGAGTGGTGAGTGCTGTTTGCTGCAAGATGTTGGGTCAAACTAGGTACTGAGAATTGTTGTTGTGCTTGTTTTTGTGAAGTCCAGATTTTCGAAATTATCGAGGATGCTTTCATTCTGTTCAAATCAGAAGGCGATGCTTTTGGATCTGAAAGGGAAGGGTGATTCTAAGAAACTAGATTCTTCACATCATGAGACACTCCGACTGTCTTTGATACAGGAGCTGCCTTCTTCAAGCCTTCTTGGAGTCGCCCACGAAGCTAAAAAAAGTGGCACAGTTGAGTCTTGGAGTCTTGTTTTCTCACGCGCACGTTCAATAAGATTGTACAACTACGCTGCATACACTGCCTACGTTGCCTACCGTGTACTCGGCACCGTAGGTGCTGTAGACGTGGTTGTGTGCGTTGTATGCATATGTTCATATCCCAAGCTCCGAGAACTTCGAAAATATCTACACCATCACATTCCAGAAAACACTATCATATTTTGGGTATTCGACCCAACATGCTGCATGTTTTCCCTCCCTCCTCTTCTTCTTATTGGTCTGCGGCTTCTTCTTCTTCTTCTCCTTCTTCTTCTTCTTCGTTTTCTTCTTCTTCTTCTTTTGCACCTGTGTCTCTCTCTCTCTCCCCTTCTTCCCGCGGACATGAAGGATCCCTCTTTTTCGCTCTTTGCACCCACTAGCAGAGCATTGCTTCGTTTGAGCCGCGCGGTAAGATCCACTATCTTCTTGTTGGACTCGTTAACTTCGAAGACGCCCGGCACCAACCAGGGCCTCTGCCAGTTGAGGAAGTTGAGCCCGAGCATTCAGACACTACAGCTGTCCAGCAATACATCCTTCGTTATTGTGAGGGAGGACCCCCTAAACCCTATCCCTAAACCCTAAACCCCAAACCCTCACACTTCCTCTGGTGGTGGTCAGTAAACTCATGATTGGCCGCAAGTCTAGATTCAAGGCGCCCGCACCTCCTCGAGGCTGACTTTGAGCTTCTTGCAAAGCGGAACCTGCCAGAGTTTAGGGTTTAGGGGTTAAGGGTTTAGGGTTTAGGGTTTAGGGTTTAGGGTTTAGGGTTTAGGGTTTAGGGTTTAGGGTTAGGGCTTAGGGTTGGGGTTTAGGGGAGCGGGTGGAAGCTCAGTATGACGTGTTACAACCATGTCTGTGAAAAAGACACCCATCGCCACCATCCTGACTCAGAACCGTGAATCTCTCGCTTCGTAAGCTGATTCTCTGCTGAGGTGCCAAGGGTCCATTGGTCTTCGAAACCTTCACGGAGCGCGCGAGCGTCTTGATGGTGGAGTACCTGCTGAATGCTCTATGGACAATGACTTGATGCCAGGTCTCTAGAACAGGCTGCAAAACTCTTGTTGGAGGGGGGGTGGGGGGGGGGCAAACTATCATGGTGGCCCCAAAAACACAAGGAATCTAGGAAGCTACCTTAAACCACAAACCCTAAACCCTCAACACCCTCAAACTCATCATGAACTGTTGACCATCATCGACCACGAAGCGCACAGGGACTGAAGGCGACAAACAGTCTCCTCACAAGACTCCAGGACCACCTGGGGCATGCTGGACACCACTCGGCTACAAAACATGTTGTTAACACAATCTTACTACCATTGATACAGAATATATCTATGTTAGATATATATACATATATTCATTATTTACTTATATAAATACATATATATATATATATATCTTTATAGTTATTTGTATTTCTGAATAGGTTCCAGACTCCTGGATGTGAGAAAAAACACGCACACAGTTTTTGACTCCGACTTGATTTTCCGCACTCTGCGTCAGGGCCCGGCTCTGGCAGTCGACACGCTTCTAAGCAGCTTGGCGACGGCCGGCCACGAGACCTTCAACGTGAGCAAAGAGGGGGCTTCCGAAATTACCGGGGGGTACCTAAGTGGGGTCCTTAAAAAAAGGGATCCTACTATTTGGTGTCTACATTTATATTGGGGTCCTTGCTATAGAGGATCCTATAGCTATGTGGGGGTCTATATTGGGGGTCTCTAATTGTCGTAACCCCCCCCAACAAAAAAAGGAAACCCCACAGCTGATCATGTGGGCAACATCATTGCACAACATTGCAAGGCAACATACGATAACATATTTTTTACACATGAACCTATTGCAACATACTGCAACACATTACTTCACATTGCAACATATTGCAACATTGCGCAGGCATCCGCTGGTTGGGGCGGCACCCTCAAGTTGTGAAGGGCAAAGCGCACAGCTGCCACAGCATGCTCCTGGTGAGCGCACAAGAAAAGAAAGCATATGGGAAGATACTGCGTTGCAGGATGCCGGACTGCAACTTCCTCGCTGTCCGCCTGTACCAGCTTCTGCACCAAAGGCAGCAACCTGCGTGGCCGCGGCTCTACATGTCTGCTAGACTCTGCTGAACCGATGCCTGGCCAATGACTGTACCGGAAGCGGATTCGGATGCCTGGATGGCCAACATCAGGCAGGTCCAGGGCGTCGGAATGGTCCCCGATTCCCCCACCCCAACCCCTCCAACATCCTCAAACAAAGCCGGCGTGGCAGTACAAACCGACTCAGAAAAGCCGCTGTCAAGGCATCGTCTCCGCATGCCTGAGCGAGAATGAAGCCGCGCACAACGCGCCACACTTTCACACAGAGCACAGAACTTCGCAGGCGTAGACTACCGCAGACCACCGTTGGGACATCGCGGACGGCCAGGCCTCGAGCCCTTGCACAAGACCAGCGACATCAGCTGCCGCCCAGGAGCCCTGCAACACCTGCACGGGGAATGAGGAGGGGAATCACTCTGAAGCCGCTGAAAACCGAACATGACAACCTAAACCCAGCATGCTGATACCATGGGCAGTCTTTTTGAAAACGGCCAATCAATCTCTCCGGACAGCACACCACCAGCCAACATCAGATTGGCGACCGGCAAGGCGCTGGTTGGAGGGCTTCCGACGATACAGCCAACAGGCATTGCCCGAATTCACCTGGAAAGCTACACAACTCCTGTTGCGCTCACACCGGGCTCTACAGCCATCGACGTCCGAAACACCTGGAAAGTACGAAGCGCCTTCAGGTGCTGGGCCGGCCGGCTGCACCTCTTCGGCAGCCCCCATGCCACAGTGCGTTGATTCCAGTATCTCATACTGCGAATCTGCTACCGCTGTATCCTCTGTCTCTGTCCGGTGCGTAAGCGTCACTTTGCCACTTTCGCCACCAAAACCCATCGCTCTCAAAGCGATTGTGTACTCTACATTCGGGCGAAGCCCATTCATCGTGTATGTCTGGACATTCGTGAGGGCATCGAAGGTGTCGTGGTCCACAACTTCTTCAAAGGCACCCGGGTCTATCCTCAGCAAGTAGCTGTCTGGCGTTGGACCTTCCTGAGTTGATGTTGAGGATCTCAACATGAGTTACCATACTCCTGAAACGATACGACCGGCTTCTCCTATAGACCCTTGGTTGGTAACTGTACTTTGAAATTCTTGATAACAGCTCCCCAGCATCAGGGTGTGGCCGCCACTCGAAAGTGATAGACCTGGACCCGGACTTTGTCACGTGCACAAGCTGGGGACGCTCAGGAGGGCCCGTCAGCGCATCCCGCTGGCATTGCGCATCGTCCTCGCGGCACGTACCCTCTGCGTCCTGCTCGGCGTCGCACTGCACATCGCCCAGCTGAACAGTCTTGAAGACGTCAGGCTGCTGCAGGTCAAAAGCCAGCAAGTTTTGCGGCAGCGGCATTCTGTCCCAATCCAGTATCAGATCGATGTCCATGGAAGTCAGGGGCAGGTATGTGGTGGGTCCTACATGGCTGTCTGGACCATGGTACCCGAAGCTTCCGACTTGTGTGCTGTTTTCACCTCGTGGGTCGACCACTTCGAAGGCTTGCATGCTGCAGTCTCGGCTTGTTTCTACTTTTTGTTAAACCTTGCTTGCTATGGAAGAACCTTGCACAACTGAGGGCCAGACAAACGAGTCCGAGCATGGAGAAGTACTGGTGAGCATCCAAGATCTTGACGACTTTCTGAAGCTCGCTCTTTGTCCACATGTCATCGATGCGGAATGCGAATATCGTCACTGATCGCGAGGAAAGGACCTTTGCAAATCCTCGCTCCAGCCTCAGGCTCTTCTTTGAGCGCTCTCAAGATTGAACATTTCGCGGTTTCCCACACAAACACTGTTGCCAATGCTGGATAAGCACACGCTGGCCATGCCGGCCATTCCTGCGTTCACCTGCAGGAAGTCGATATGCCTCCTGCCTCGAGTGCAAACATGAAGTCCGTGAAAGAAGGTACTGCCGTGTGAAGAAAGGACGTATGGCCAGGATGCTCAAGTTCTCCTTCCACACGTCGTCCAAAGTCCTAGTTGGGGCCGCAACGGCCAAGTCTCTCTGCCTCGCAGTGCAAAACTGGAGAGGAGGAGGAATGCAGAAAAAAATCGAACCAGCCAGTCAACAGAAAGCCGGCGTCACCTTCGGACCAGGAAGCATGGATGCACAGGATCGTCCATGGCCGGCCCAGCCGCCAAGCATCTTTCTTGTACCTGAGCCAACATACTCGGACATGAGTCAATCCATCCCAGCCCCCCCTTCATTCCCAAGCTCCGCCTGCTCCGCTGCAGCGACTTTGCCGTCTTTCGTGTCAAAGAACACCTGTCTTCGCATCGTTTCTTCATTACATCCAAGAACAGAATACGAAAAAGAGAGAGAGAGAGAGAGGGAAGGGAGACGCTGAGGCGCCTGGGCTTCGGCGCCGCTACGCGCACCAAGGGCGGCCTGCAGGGCCCGCACCTGCAAAACGCAGGGCCCCCAAGGGGCCCTAAATATCAGGGCTTAGGAGGGTTTTTTCAAGGGGGCTTCGGGGATCCTCCCAAAGTCTCCCTTTCTCCGCCTGCAATGATCCTCTCGAGGACCAGGGCTCCTCGCTGACATAAGCCTCTGAAGTACCCTAGTAAGGTCTGTAAGCACAGTTATACTTGGGTTACTACGTACCCATGAACCTCCAAGTACACTTGCCGTCCTTCAGACCTTCTGTCCAGTGCTGCAAGTAGGTCTCCACGGGATCCACCGCAAGAATTATGCCAGAGTGGTTGAAGTAACGAAGCCACAGGGATGCAGTGGACCAATTCCTGAGCATGCGCGACTCGCCCGTTAGGCCTTCGAGCTTCGGGTGCTTTAAGGCAGGGACACGTGCAGGCTGGGGGCTGCTCCACCTTAGCAGACCCTTCAAACCCTTCAACAGCCCCTTCGAAAGCCCTTGAACAGCCCTGAACCCCCCAAAACCCTAAACTCCGAAACCCTAAACCCCTATAAACCCCAAACCCTTCTAAACCCTCAAGCCCTGAAATCCTTAATTCAGGAGACCTGACCCTCGGCCAAGCCGCTGCAGAGCTCCAGCTGCTGGCTGCAGGCCGACTTCCACCAGGACGCGCCTGGGAAGGGTTGGGGGGGCTGGGTGGGGGTGCGTTTTAGGGGTTGGGGGTGCTAGGAGAGTCGACCCTAAGCCCGAAACCCGAAGCCCCTACACCCCAAACTGAAGTTCCCTGGGGACACACAGCCCTTGCTTCTCCGTGATCTTGCTTCCAAGCGGCGGGCAGTCATCGCTCAAGACCGCTCGCAACTGTTGAAAGAAGTGCTCATGGGTCACCGCGGCCTTTGCTTGGGGGTAGTAGCCTGGCCAGCACTTCAGACTGCAGCAAGGTGGAGAGGAGAGTCGTTCCACCCTCGCCTAGTGGGCTTTCTTTGACTCCCAGCAATTTCAAGCCACCCGGCTCAATCTCATCGTCGCGGAACCTGGTTTCACTGGCTGGCAAACCAAAGTGAAAGTACGAAGATGCACCACTTGCGGATTGAGCAACCAATCTAAATCAGAAAGCCGAAAGCTGGAACTGGCGCGAGACACAAGGCCAGCTCTCTGAAAACTATGATCCCTTCATGGGAACACTCAGTATACCTGTATATTTACGACAGGTACCCCAGAAAGAGACTCTACTTCAGAAGAACCCCCCCATATTGGCCCAGATTCGCCCGATTGTCGCAGGTTGGCCAGTCATCTGCCTTGACAAGAACTCCAAAGAATCCTTCTAACGGATGGTCCTTCTGCGAACGAAAAGATGGCTCCGCGTCAAATTCTGGTATAAGATATATTACACTCTATTGATATGTACAACTTGTACGTTCTCACATATGTACAGATATATATATATATATATATATATATATATATACATATACATATACATATTACATTGTCGTATATCATATATGCTAGATCTACCCTGTAGGATATTGGCTCTTAACATTTCTGAACCCGAAGAGGGGCCCATGCTTCAAAGGCCCCGGCCGTGCCGAAGGAGAGGACCAGGGCCGCCAGAACCCGCATCCTTGCTGAGTGAACAAGAACAAGAGTACTGGGAATAGGAATCGATACAGAATACTTCTGAAAGTACTTCATCAGAGTAGAATGGTGGTAGTAGTAGTAGTAGTAGTCGTCGTCGTCGTCGTCGTCCTCATCGTCGTGCTGGTGGTGGTGGTCGCGGTCGCCGTCGCGGTCGTAGTCGCGGTCGTCGCGGTGGTCGTCGCGGTCGACGTCGCGGTCGTCGCGTCGCGGTCGTCGCGTCGCGGTCGTCGCGTCGCGGTCGTCGTCGCAGTCGTCGTCGCGGTCATCGTCGCGGTCGTCGCAGCGGTCGTCGCAGCGGTCGTCGCAGCGGTCGTCGTGGTCGTCGGGGTCGTCATGGTCGTCGTGGTCGTCGTGGCTGTCGTGGCTGTCGTGGCCAGCCGTCGTCGTTCTCGTCGTCGTTGTCGTCGTCGTGGTGGTAGACAAGCCTGGCACAAGTAGGACCTCTAAGGATCTGACAATCCACGCAATCCACGTGTTGTCTTGACCAGAACACCATGAGACCAATGGACGCCCTGTAAAGTCTGCACAATGAATGCGTAGAATGACCGCCATTTGGCATGTCCCGGCTGTTTCAGTTGTGCCTTGCATGGTTTGCTGCTCTCTCTGAGCAGCGCTGCTTCACTCAACTACAGCCTGCGAGCCAAAGGGAGCCAACCCAATCTCAGCGCATGCAAGGCTCTTGTTCCGAGGAAGCTTCTCCCTGAACCCTAAACCCTAAACCCTAAATGGATGACACATGGGCCTGCATTGAGCGAAGCCGGGAAGCGAGTAGCTGCACGACTCCCGCATGCTTGGCCTCACCATCACCACACTCAGACGACTGGTTCCGGCTGATGCCACATTCCCATTGACACAGCATGTGCTGCCTCAACAGCAGCACAGGCTCCTGCTGCGCGGGTAGACCACGCACCTGGGCCCATGAAACATTTGGCGTCGAGATATCTCCACGTGGCAACAAATCTGGCAGAGCATGGCTGGCAGCGCTGGCATCCGCCGGCGTCTGCGGGGCAAGCCAGAAACCACTGGGGAGACGAGACTGTGATGTACTGAGTACTGAGTGGCAACGTGCAAAAGCGCTTGAAATGGCCTCTCTGCCCTTGTGCAGAAAGCCGTCCTGGAGCCACGCCAGCTTCTCCGTAGAACATCGTGGGACCGAGTCTTTTCGAATCGCCTCCCGCTTGACCGCGGGGCGTGAAGATGTGGAATCCTCGGATACCGACTCAGGGTGCAAGGGGCATCAAAGAATCTCCCCGACATCCTTCTCTGTCATCACCGAGGTTCATAGCCGCCAGCACCACTGGCACCTGCGGCTGAGCTGATTGCGGACCCCCCCCCCCTCTGACGGCAAGCTTTCTGCCTCCGTACCACGCCGGTACTTGGAAGGCGTGGAAGGCATCCATCGACAACGACGGTGGAATCTGCGCCAGGGCACAGCTGTTGCAAACTCCTCTGGCAACGCTACTTTAAGAACTGTATTCGGTAGTAAAAGGCACCGCCAAGCAGCCAAGGCAACAAGTGCTGCTGGGTTTTGTCCGAAGGACACGAGGCACTGACACTTTGGCGCCCTTGTGATGCGTTGTGAAACGTGCAGGCGCAGAGCATAGCAGAGCACATCTGCCACATCATTGCTTGCGCCGCGACGGCGACGGCCTCTGTGCAGCAGTCAAGGCCTGCACAGAGCTGCACGCAGCGACGGAGGAGAGTGACCAAAAGCAGTTCAGGACACTTCTGAAAGCAGTGCAGTGATGCCTGCATCAGGTCCTCGTCGCATATCTGCAGATTTGAAAGGGCCTGGGCTACAGATCGGACCGGCACCGTCGATCTGGCCATCAACCTGGGCAAGCTCCCCTATGGCTTGCACAAACGAAAGGGCGAGGTCCTGAGCCACTGACGCTGGTAGGAGACACTTCCTGCGCAGAGAAGAAAGAGATGCTGAGGTGCTGTCAGAGCAGCTTGCTCAACAGTCAACCGAAGAGCTAACAGGCAACTGCTCCCTCCAATTAGGGGTAAAGTGGTCTAAACGCCTCGTCTGCATTCAGCACCTAAACTATCAGCGACACCGCAACGACCATGGCTTTCGACACTCGAGGCGATGCTTTTGCTTGTGCTCAAAGGTCGCGGCCACAACCTCATGAAAAACCGTGGGATCGGAGAACCTGCAGAGAACCTGACTGGTTCAGGCCAGGGCTGAACCCATATTGACACAGAGTATCGCCGAGCGCTGGCAGAGGCCCGCTGGGGCAGAGGGGCAGCCCGGCCATTCGTGGCAACGTCCAAGAAGCGCGCAAGCCAGGGGAGCTACAGAAGATGCTTCTGCAGGAAACGGACCGCCCATAGGCTGGAGATGAGGTCACCTTTTCCCTTCTTATTTGTCGATATCTTACGATGTGTTGTTCATTGCTGTCATGTTGTGCTTTCTCGGGGCTTGGGGGGGTCGCGCCCCCCCCCACGGCGACGGAGTGCGCGCGTTCCCGCTGCGGGGCCTCTGCCTCAGGCAACATGGCCGGTTTTGAGACGAAGCATCAGGTGTCGTCTATTCCCTTGCACCCCACACCCTAACTCCCCTTTTAGTATGAAACGGTTTGCGGTCCGGTCATGGGCCAAGGAAAGTTGGTCAACGAAAAGCAAAAGTCTGAGTGGAGGGTAGTGGGTCAAGCCGGGTAGAGACAGCCGTAAAGTCTCAAAGACAGATTCACAGGATCCGCTGCAGAGGTCACAGCCGAGTAGCCCAGCCCCAAGAAGCCAGGCTGCGAAACCCCGAAACCATCAAAAACACCAAGCGGGCACCTGAAGAACAACAATCCCAAGTGCCTGCTCATCCTTTGCGCAACGCCAGCTGCCTTATGGCAACGAACATCCTTGGCGCGCCAAATGCTTTCAGAGCATGGCGCGAAGGCTTCTGCAGCTTGCTAAGCCTTTGCTGAGCATGCTTCTCCGAAGGCAGCAATGATCTTGGCAACGGTCTCGGGCGAAGGACACCTCGCAAGGGACGGCACAACGATCTTCAACAGGCGGTCTGCCAAGGGCAGCGCTTTCTCGAGGAAGCTGCCTGCCAAAGGACCTTTCCGGGAACTCTGTCTCCAGTCGATTGGACCTGCGCCGGAAAACTGGGGAAACAGCTCTGCAGCACACTTGAACATTGTTGCCAGAACTGTATGCATGTTTGTGCTGCCTGAGGATGCGACAAGGCTAGAAAATAGTTCATGAAGCTGTGTTGACGGGCTGCTGCCTGCAGGCGACAATGTGTTTCCAAGATCTAACAAGGCGAAGGGCTTCGGATCAATGTCTGCCTGGGTGACCTTGCATACCTCCGCAAGGGCAGCGGCCAGGTTGGCAGCCTTCGCCACAGACATTCCACATCATGAACCAACGCCAGGAGCACGCCGCGAGCACGCCGCCAGCACGCCGCCAGCACGCCGCCAGCACGCCGCCAGCACGCCGCCAGCACGCCGCCAGCACGCCGCCAGCACGCCAGGAGCACGCCAGGAGCACGCCAGGAGCACGCCACGAGCACGCAACTCCACGACATGCCACAAATATTTGCAACACGAGCCTCAGAGAATGAAAGGTGGTTGAGTCCGTCCACCCCACGCTCGGCAACCAGAACCCACATCTCCTGCGCCACCTTCGTCCGCGAAGCCAGCACTTGCACTCATTGGCGACTTGCCAAGGAACAGGGCGGGCAATCAAGCATAAGCAGCTCTGTTCCAAACAAGCCGCAGCATGTACATAGCCACCTCGTGCCAGAGCATACCTGCGAGCTGTACGAAGTACGGAGAAGTCAGCATTTTGCAGGTCTCCTTCTAGCACATCTTGGCAGATTCCGAGGCCAACTGGCAAAGGTCACGCAGTCACCACCAAGGTTTGCGGCGACACGAGCGCGGGATCGCCTGCATAAGGCAAGCAGGCAAGGTCAGCATAAGAAAATCGAAAAAAAGACTTCCGCTGTGTCAGGCTCTTCTCCCTACACTTTCGAAAGAAGCGGACGTTGGTCGAAGCCTCGCAGCAGGTCGAAAAAGCGGGAGCACGCCGCTTGCAGCAAGCCCATGCCTGATCGCAAGGACTCCGATGACTATGGAAGCTTATGAAAACTCTCCACTAATACGTAATATATCTAGACATATATCTATATATCTATATATCTATATATCTATATATATATATATATTCGAATATAAAAATAACAAGTATAAACATAAATATAAGTCAGTGAAGGTCTCAGCCTAAAACTTGGCCTTGAATTCGATTGCTGATCGCATGTGATGATCGAAGGGCCGAAGGTGTTCAGGCTGCGATCGGGCAACCGGGTCTGTTCGCATACCAAGCCGATGTAAAATCACCGTCATGTGCCAACGTTGGCCACATCAGGCTAGGCCACACGCTCAAACAGCATCGTTGGAGTATGTTTCGAGTTCAACATGTTGCGGACACGTGCCAGGAAGTTTGCCGGGCATCGCTTTGGAAAATCGGGAGAGTATGTTCTGGCATCAAGAGAAAACCCAGTAGCGACAAAACCGCTCCGAGGATCCGGCCCTGGCATGGTCCGTATATTGTAGATTGTGTACTGAACATGATATATTACATATTACGACAATACATATATATATATATATAGATGCATGCATACATACGTACGTACATATATACATACATATATGTATATACATACATTACATATGTTTGGAGGAGTTTGACGGCCTGCCTGAAGGATTGCTCCCAGCCGAAGCCTGCGAGAGGCGGCCAGGAAGCTAGTTTTAGCGCTGCCGCGATGGGCCCACAACATTCTTACCTCAGCAAGAGCTACCCTAAACCCTAAACCCTAAACCCTAAACCCTACACCCTAAACCCCTAAACCCGAAATCAACTAGTTGTCCTAAAGAGGTCGCTCGGCCTTGGTGGCTGCGAAGATGATGAGCGAAGCGCTCTGCCCATCACAGGATGGCACCAGGCGGCTCCTTGACCGTGTGCAAACTTGACACATCGTATATTTTACTATCTAAATATATTCATATAATATAATGTAGTATAATATAAAATGGTATATTATAATGTGATATACTACAATATAATATAAGTATACTATACTATCTTATATTAAATTAGATCTGCACATCTCAGTTGCTGGCGCCCGTTCCCAGACTAGAGGAAGGAGGCTGCTCTGCATGAGGCCGACCCGCACCTGGCACAGCATAAACATCTCTGCACTTTCCGCCTGAACCTTTCAACAGATCTTCAAGCTGCGTCTACCCGACCATCCGACCACGAGCTTTATCTACAGACTGAAGGACTCAAAAAACTCAAGAGGGGAGGAGCTACTGTAGCCAGCCCACTGCCAGCCCACTGCCGCGCTCGGGTTGATGATTCGACCAAAATTAGAGTGCAGCTGGGTTTTGGGGTTTAGGATGCCACTAATATTTAGAGGTAAGTCCTGGACCCTATATCCTCGATCAGCCCTGAAGGTTAACGGTCCATTACAGGTCTTGGCTCGGTCGAACCCGAAGCTACAGGGGCTCGGGAATGTCGACCCTTTTATTGGGGAGACGTGAAACCCCAATCAACGCAGAGGACTCAGGAAGTTGACGAAGTCGACTGCGGGATCCTTTCCCCCCAATGAACGCATGGACTTTACAGCTACGAAAAGCAGCGAAAATCAGTACGCAAGTATGGAAATCCCCAAGGAACGCTGGGGTTCAACATGCCTGAAAACATCATCCAACATGGTTGCTGAAGGCCTCCGCCCGAGCGAAACGCAAGCAATGCATGGAGTCAAGCCTACCAAAACTTACGAGAAGAGGCGACCATTTCTCTGAACCTACATCGCATCGTATAGCCAACATGGCTTATGACATGCATGCATGGAATTGTGGACAGTCCGCCCGAGGGAAACGCAGTTTCGGTCGACTTCCTAGAAAGTTTCCCCGCAGTGATTTGCCTTATCGCAAGAAAATGGTCAACTTTCCGTGTTGCGTGTAGGGGGTCCTCCTGAGAGCAACTTTGTGGGGTCCTTTGGGGAGCACGGGATATGCACGAGCAGCCCCTTATCCCAACAACAGTTTCCACCAAAACAAACGGTCCAACGGTCAAGCATGAGGCAAGTCAAGCCAGGACAGCTCGGCGTAAGAGTGTGCGATCATGGCAAGCCTGGCTCGCATGCAAGAGGCTGAGCGTGCTGCAGTGTATTGCTTTGCCTCCCTGCGCTAAGTCAGGTACTGGCGCATGTCGCATTCGGGTGAGTGCAAGAGGGCCTCTCTGTGAGGACCACCACGCAGGAAGCAAAGAGTGAAGGCAGCAACAGCCCACATCAAGCATCCCGCCGGCAAGTTCTCTTGGCAAGCGAAGAAGTAAGGCTCATGTCGAACAGATGCTGATGAGAAAGCCTGCCAGGCCCAAGCCGCAGAGCCATCGAGCAACAAGTCCGAATGTAGTCGGTGCTAAAAAAAACTATGGTCCCGTCCTGGGTCGCCTAAAGGCCTAAAGTAGGGCCCGGATTGTAGCAAGAGGTACCCAGTGAGGGGCTATTTACCATGCAGCAAGGTGGCATTCAAGGCAACACAGGCTGTCCGCAGCGTCATGGCCTCCTGCAAGAGAAGTGGGAAAGAACCTTGAAAACGGGGTTCTTGCTTGGGAGCTGGAGTTAAGTCGCGATAATACGGATACAGTAAGTCATGTTGTAACCTTTCTGATGGTACCCTAATTCCTTGACTAGAACCAAGAAAGGACCAGAAGGACAGCTGAGGCCCCGACCTTGCCAGTTGAATTCGACCTCACATCGAAGACTTCGGAGTCTATTCGGGTACTTCCCCAACAGTGCTGTGTCCCGAATAAGTACTGTGTCCCGAATATGCCCCGAAAAGTGCCATAATCCTTCTGATGGAACCCCCATGGTACCCTGCTTTTGGGGACCAACCCCCCAACAGTTAGATGCCCGCAGGTGCCGTCTTGCCATCTGAGCGCCGGGCTCGATCAGCTGGTGGCCTAGCCTGACGAAAACGCTCTGGAAGCTCGGCCTTCGGACACCTTCGCCCTCGAAGGGAGGTTCATATGGTACTTAGCCAATGAGAACGGTACGAATTACCCCAATGATAACACCCCACTATAGGGTACCCTGAACCTCCAAGTAGGAATGCCCCCCAAGTCTGAGGTCAGTGGAACTTGAAAACCCGAACACACACACACACACACACACACACACACACACACACACACACACACACACACCTTTTTGACTCCGACTGGGTTAGGACGTCCGGCAACCAGCTGCTGCTTCCACTTTCCTGGCCTGCTCCAGCTGTGTGAGAAGTCCTGCCTTGGCTGCAGCCAAATCCGACTCACGCTCCTCCAGCTCCTGGAGCTGCGCCTCGACCACAGCCCTCTGGTCTTGAATTGCCAGAGCCTGATGCCGGAGGGAATCCAGTTGCTCCCTGACCGTCTGCTCAGCTACGAGGCTTGACAGAGACGTCTGCAGAGTCTCGAGAGACTTGATGTGCTTCTCGGAGGCATCCCCTACGGCGCTCTTCAGAGACCGGAAGCGCGCTTCCCGGAGCTCTTCGTTCGACCGCTTGCCACCGTCGGTTCCAGCACCATGGCTACTGAAGTTGCCATGGCTGCCATGGTCCGATAGGCTGTCCAAGGCGGCAGGCCGCCGTGAACGGCCCAGCGGAACCTCCGGCTCGTCGAGCTGCGTTGGCGGCTCCGACAGATCGAGAATGGTGTCAGAATCCCCCGGCTCTTGGGCAAACATCAGCTCATCCTGATTCCAGGACCTCTGCTCCGGCAAGTCGACGGCGTTCCTTCGCTCTCGCGTGCGGGCACCGAGCGACTCCAGCGGCTCCGGCTCGGAAAACGTGGCTGTAGCTCCCCGTTGGAGGCTCGAGCATGCGACTAGGAAATCGTCATCCCCAAAGAAGTGGACCTCGGCAAAGGCTGTGAAAAAGCGAGCTTGGAACACTTCGGCGAAGGCCTTTCCGACCGCGCTGGGATCGTTGAGATACCTTCCGCAGCCCATCGCAGGAACCACCAGCGTACGGGAACGGATGGCTACAGCCAGCTCCAGGGCCGCTGCAACCTTGGCGTAGAGCTGCCGCTGGTACTCCTCCGTCGACTCCGGGGCGTCACAGGGCTCGTCCGGAAGATCTTGATTGCAGTTCGGCATCGCCACGCTGATCACGGCAGATAAAACCAGGGGACCCTCCAGAAACGGGAAGCCATCTTCGGGGCCGGCCCGGAAGACCTCCACGTTCGGGCTGAGGACGGCGCCGTACTCCGGTATATGCACTTCCCAGGAGGTCTTGCCATTGATAGGCCTGGCATTCATCGGGGCTGTCACGCCATGCTCAGAGGCCATTTTGCTCGCACGACGGAGAGACATCTGCAGGGTGGATTGCGTGCAAAGCATCTCTTCTAACTCGAATGCAGAACCCTCTGTAAAGTTTCCACCGACTTTATAGGGACTGCCTGCACTGAGTAGGGTCACCGAACGATCTGCCGCCAGGCCCAAGAGTATCTCCGTCAAAGAACTTTCATCGAACTCATGATAAATGAACTCCGTCTCGAACGTCTGCTCCGGCTGAGTCGTGCCATCGACATTGAGGACAACATGAGTACCCTCCAGCGTCTGCGGCAAGTTTACCAGAGGTATGTCCGCTTCATTGAACAGGTATCTGCCAAGACGACATGTCGCGGCAGTCATTTTCGCAGCTTCAAGGCGCATGAATCGCAGCTCCTCATCTCTTTGTGGATCTCCAGTGTCAAACTCAATCCAGTCGTAGCTGTCATCGATTGGGTCCAGAGCACCATCGTTGCCAGAAAATGCAGAACCAATGATGAACACTTCGCTTATCTCCTCTTCTCCAGGCACAGTTCCTTTGGAACTGATCTCGGCAGTCATGCTGAAAGCCGTCAAAAGAAGCAAGGTTGTTCAGCTTAAGCTAGGTGGGGTCAGGTTAGAGTAACGCACTCCATCAGGGCTGGGATTGCTCAATGCTGCCATTATACAACTTCAATCGCTTTCTGTGCAAGGGGTCACCACAGAAACACCAAATCAGGTTAAGACTCAAGACTCAAGGTTCAAAGCAGCTGGAGCCAGCAAGCAAAAGCTGCACGCCGAAAACGAAGGAAGCAAACAAAAAATAGAAGCCTAGCTTTCGGGGACTGCCTGTTGAACAGCTCCACGTGCCCACTCTTCTGCGCGTCCGACAGCTTCGAGAAAGCCTCGGAGTGCACGGAGCGATGCTAGGTTCACCGAAGTCATCCCAAATGCGTCAACACACGGCGTCTCCTAAACCCTAAACCCTAAACCCTAAACCCGAAACCCGAAACCCAAACCCTGAACCCTAACAGCAGTTCCGAGGAGCATTGGCCAAGTTGCTCAGCTCGCCGGCTCCAAGCCTCGTGTTCTGTATTCTAACATACTTGCGGTTGCGTGATGCTACGTGCATCTACACATATACCGATATGAACCACACACACACACAACATAAAACACATAACATATAACATATAACATATAACATATCACATACCACATATCGCATATCACATATAACACATAACATATAACCTTTACTTGAAACAAGGTCAGAGGAGAAGGCTTTGAAACTGCACGCAGCACAGCCCCGAACTGAATCAAGGACACGCCGTCCAGCAGCCTCTTCTCGATGTCCTCTTGGATGGGAGCAGCACAACGCGGCCAAGTTGCGCACAATTGTGTGAGGGTGTGTGCGCGTGTGCGTACTGAGAGAAAGCCGGAGCTGGTCCTGAAACAGACGCTTGTCCGCTTGCTGCGGGCTTTGTGCCTTCAGCCGAGCAGAGAACAGCTCTGTGCAAGTCATAGTCCCAGCGTCCAAGCACGGCGCATAGGCGTGCGCAACCAGGCACAAGTCGGAAGCTGCAATTGCAGCGTCCCCTCCTCTGAGGTGGTCTTGACACGAAGCTTGCAAGCGGTCATCAAAGCGAGAGCTGGCCTTCTTGAGCTCGCAGGCGACGGCGCAGCCTAGATACAAAAGCACACCGCATTCTGAGAGCTATTTGTTTGCACCTTCCTTCGCACACACTCGACCACCGACAAGCCACTCTCAGCCCAGACGGTAATTTCAGAACTCTGGCTAAGATGAGGGCAACTAACACGCAGAGCTCCCCCGCTGCGGAAAAAAACGAGAGCTAGCCAACACAGCGGACAAGCTCTTAAAATCGACAGGTGCCGAGAAAAGCAGCTGAGGACAATAAGCCGGCTTAGCATGCTGAGCCTATTTTAAAACCAAACAATCAGCTAGTGTCGTTCATATGTGAGGGACTTGTGCGTGCAGGAGAGGAAACGAAGTTTCTGGTTGTTCTGCAGCCCTGTTGAAGTAGTTGACGTAGGCCGAGCTGCTCATTGAACAGCCCATCAGCATTCAAGTCTACTACGTCTACTAAGCCAAAGACTCCGCTTGCAGCCCCGACAGCAGCTTCCATGCTGAACCTTGCTGGCCGGTGTCTCACGAAGCCAGCAATGCACTTCACGCTCCGGGGACTGGACCAGATGCGCCGCCAGGAGCATGCGCAAGATCTCGGAGCTACTTTTTCAATCAAGGTTCACAATCTGGTAAGCTCTCGAAACCATGATCCCTGCCGCAGGTAAGACGGTACCCAAAAAAGGGCATGACACAGAGAGAGCCCATGTGCATCGTACCAACACTGGGGACGATGCTGCTACTGTGATGCACCAATCGGCATAAGACCCGGCTGGAAAGATCAGAAGAACCTGTCAGTCGGCACTGCTAGTCAGCTGGCTATCGCACTGACAGCATGAACAACTCCGCCGAAGGCCCCCACATTGCAAGGCTCTTGTGCACAACTTTGCCAAATTGTCTGCGGATACCTTGCCTTGCTCGTCCCATTCACATTCTCGCGACAAGTGAAGTTGAGGCAGCACAATGGAAAAGCGGCGCCAAGCTGCCAAGGTCGAAGTGCTGGGCAGCAGCAAAGCCTGCTAACAAAGCCTGGAACAGGTTCCAGCATCGTTTGTGTGATATGCAAAGAGCAACAGTGTCATTCGGCTCCAGGCATATTCAGGAAACGAGGCCTGGCAAAAGGGCTACAAGCTGATGCAAATGACCTCGCATGTCCTTATCTTCAATATGTTTTCAAAGGCCTTCTTTGCAGAACTTTTTCTGGACTTCTCCTGACATTGTTTCATGTCTGGCAGAAGTCGTAATTGTTACAGATAAGAGCGTTGCACAGGCCTCGGTGACTGCTGCACTCCTCAGATGCTGCATCTCTTGCGAACCAAAGCTGGCAAAAACAAATCAGCTCCCAGCTGACGATGCCTTCGCCCATGAGAAGTAACCCGTGCCTGCACACAAGGCAGAACAAGATAAGCAAGACATCACATGTGAGGGAACCATTTCGCTTCACTGGCTGCCTGGGCGACTGTGGCCAGCGTATCCGAGGAATGCCCAGGCGTCGATCGTTCCACAGGAACAGCTGGCATTGCGGCGAGGGCTGCCAAGCTCTTCAGCAGCTCTGGAATCAGGGCTGGGTCCCGCCGGTAGTCGGCCTGCGAAAGGAACCAAAAAACTGGTCAGGTGCTATAACTGCTCTTTATCAAGCCAACGCTTGCAGCCTTCGAGAAGCAAGACAGTGTCAAGCCAATGTCGCTCGGAGTCATCCGAGGCCTCAGACCACAGAGTGGTGGGATGTGCCCGGCACGATCAGTGAAGCTTGGAAGCTTGGATTCGGGCATGTCGTTCCTTGCAGCTTCTGCGAAGGTGTCCCAAAGCATTGGATCCCAGCGCTTCTCCACACAGGCCTGCATATTCTTGTGCAAAGAACTGTGCTGCCCGTGAGTTGCGCAAATAAGAGCGCGACGCCCACCTTGAGCATCGTGCGGATCAAAGTTGTGGAAGTATCCTGCCGATGGCGCCGCAGGATCTTGCCGATAGGGCCTGTCAGACAGTGGCACATGTCTAGAGGCTTCGCAGGCGAAGAATCCTGAAGGACATTGTTATAGACTTATAGATTCATGCCTCGTGCAGCACCAACAAGCTGCCCTCGCTCTGCCTCACCTCCATACTGAGATATTGAGTTCCTCCTGGTGTATTGGTAAGTTCCCTGGTCTCAGACAGTCTCAGATCCACACGCTCATGGAAAGCATTGACTAGGTCAAACGGAACTTGGTCAAGAATCTCCAGGTGTCGCAGCCTGAACGTCGCCACCATATTGCTGGGAGCCACAAGAATGCAAACTACATCGTGCTGAGCCTTTCCCCGCGTGTGCGAGGCAGCTGCAACAGACCGACAGGAGCATGGGCCTGTCGGCATTCTGCAATGAAGGGCCCCAGCACCGCACACGTTGTGCACAACACTTGTACCTTGGCCCACTCCGTTCGAGGATCATTGGCCTCCGATCCCGAGGCGAAACCTCGTCGCCACACCAAGTGAGAACGAGGCGGTTTTGCTGCTTGTTTCAAAAACAACTTGCAACTACAGCACGCGCATACGTGACGTAAACTATTGCAGCGACTCGGTAGAAGGAAACAGACTTGCTTCATGCAGAAATCCTCACCGGTTGATCTCCTCGAACGCCCAGAACATACAAAGAACTCATGTGCCCTCGGGCAGCGGCAGCGAGTGGTGATCGTCCACGCCTCAAAGTTTACGTTCGAAAATTGCACTGATGCATCACACAAAAGCTAGCGAGGATCTGACTCTTCTCTTGACGATCGCCCGTGTTGTAACGAGCATCCTTTCTTGCAGACCTCAGTCAAGATATGGATAGGGTTCCGTGAGGTATGCAAAGCCGCCAGTGTCTCAGTTACGGTGCTTGTTGCATGCAAGGAGCATGCTGGCCAGTGCAGAGCAGCTCATGGCCCAAAGGTATCACAGCACACGCGCAGCGAAGAACCGTCATATAACAAGTCAGCCATGTGTCTACAGTTTGGGCGGAACAAAAGACTGCGAAGCCCGTCTGCGTGCTTTGAAACATGGACTTGGGGCTTCAAAGTTGGAGCAGAAACGGCCATTTCAAAACCACATGACAGACTGGCGGATTGACACCCTACGCAGCCAAGCATTGAGAGGGCGCGCCTGTGTGCTGCCAGCTTGAAGGCATAGATCGAGGATGGAACTGCCATGCCAGCTGAAGGCTGTGGGAAACAGGCACTCTTAAAACAACAAAACAAGTGTGTAATTCTTAAGGCTGCTGAATTTTCGTGACAACTGTAGGCGCACACGTCCGAATAGTCCGGGCTGTACCGGAAACGTAAATCCTGCCGAAACACCGATGGCTACACATTGGGCGGGGCATTGCTAGCAGCCAGGAGCTATTTCACAGATCAACATCTCTTGCTGCTGTCCTCCAATCTTGCAACATCGATGCACGAGCTGGATGTGAAGCACATTTTGACCTGCACCAGTCTTGTCTACGGTATCTTAAATGGCATCAAACTTTGATTAAACTTTGCCAATGACACTGCCTGCATTCCTCCCACTCGCAGGGCCGGAGGCCAACGTTGCGCCTGGCGATAGCTCTATCTGCACAGAACTTCTACCATGATATGCAAAGCCGGACCTCTTTTTCGAACTGCTGTGGAGGCCTACCATACAGACCACAACCGATGAGAACGCCCTTCTCACAAAAACAACGCTGGGTCCCGATCACACTGAACACTTCGGCCATGAAAGGGTCCAACCTCAAAATGTGTCGGCATCTTGTAAGCAGTTGCTGCTGTTGCAAGCTCTCAACCATGTGATGCTCTACTCAATGCTTGAGCTAAACACACGCTGCCCAGCACCCAGGCACAAACAGCCAGCGCCTCGGAGAAAAACTCAAACAAAACTTTGTGTACCAGCACCAACTCGTGCCTGATCTTCGACGAACGCTGCTTCCACAACACAGTAATTGTGAGGGTCACCTCCGTCGGTCAACATGGATGAAAAATGAAAGCACGTGAATTCTTGAACGGGGCAAGCCTCGAGAGATCAGCTCCGACTCGCTGCATTTTTGTTGAACCTCTGCAGAAGCCGCAGCCGCAGCCGTCAAAGATGCCCTTGCCTGACAACGAACTGAACTCCAGCCACAGCACATCCGTCTAACTTTGAAACTCTTACATCTGTGTGCGAGATCATCCCATTGCAAAGGTCAGCTCTGGCATCTTTGTTTCGGACAGGCGCACGAAGGCTGCATAACATGCCCCGTTGTACCCCTAAATACCATGTTAACAGAACACACGAAATACACAAACAGCCAACCCGGCACGTGTTCGATTACTGATTACATGCATTTGGATGTCGCTCTGGAGACGGTTGAGTCAAATCCAAACAAGTGCTTCAAACGTTTGCGAACAACTAGTCAAACAAATCACATAGGAACAGCTGCATGAATATGTTCAACCGGGCTTGAACCAGCCAATGGCGAGAAAACGGTTTCTCTACTGTAGCGTGCTCGGTTTGTCGGACCTAGCCGATTCCAAAACCTACGAAATGGTTTGGCATGATCCGAAAAGCAGTATCACGACTCTAAAAACTGGTCTAAAGTGACCGTCAGTACTGACAGCTATCATCGCAAAATTGATTTGGTTGAAACAATTCACCATATAGCATGCCTGAGCGGAACGCAAACCAGACAGAGATGAGCTCGCCTAGATCCATCCTGTGCCCTTGTTTTTTTGAACAGTAAGTTTCTGCTTCTCTTTCCTTGACCAGCACAACGTCACACAATATATGTAAATCACATTGACTCAATCGACTCCATCTTCACATGTTAACTTGCACTGTTTTTGCGAACGCAGACGGGTGAAAGTCCGGGATGCAGCCGACGGTCCCCCCAATTGGGGTACACCAACGCATGCCAACGCATGGCATCGTGAAGGATCACCTCCACCACCTTTCCCGTCGGCTACGTGATGCCTGACTAATCTGGGTCAACTCTCCGGAACAGATGTTGGTACCTTTCGAAACTCAATGGAGAGGCATCATCGTCAAGATCACTTGCCAAAGTGAGAGAAGACTGGGCACTCTCAAAGAGGATCCTTCGAGTGGAAAAGGGAACCCCCCGCCAGAGGGTTCCAAGTTTGCCCATGCGTGAGAGCTGCGTGGGCGTTGCAGAAAGAGTCATCTACCCGAAAACACGATAGCGCCCCTCCATTGGCCTGTCCCAACTCGAGCTGCTTTGACCCATGATAGCTCTAACCGACTTCACAACATTTGTTTGCGAAGAAGCAATCGTGCCGCCTACTCCATTCTCACAGTCGCACGTATCCCGAAGCTCCGAAATGGGCACCATCTCAACACGATTTGCGCCGCACTCTCCCTCTCCCTCTCCCTTTCTCCCTCTCTCCCCCACTCTCCCCCGCTCTCCCCCGATCTCCCCCGATCTTCCCGATCTCGCCCGATCTGCCCCGATCTCCCCCGATCTCCCCCCCAATCTCCCCCCCCATCTCCCCCCCGATCTACTCTCGATCTTTTTCCGATTTTTGTTTCCGATCTTTTTCCGATCTCCCCCGGATCTCTCCCCCCCCATCTCGATCTCTTTTTTTGGTCGCGAAGCGCACGGAGCGCTGCCTTTGGCTGTTGGGTGAAACTACAAATAGGCTACCCTGCTCATGTGGCAGCCATGTCTTGCCCAGCTGGCCTGGTCACCACCAGGCCTCACACCAGTACACTGTGAGCTTGCGGCTTTGCTTGGCTCCACCGGTTCTACCCTAACTGCTGCTACATATGGTCCTAGATCACCAGATCTGAGCTCTCCGGTCAGGGTCTCACCAGAAAAGGGTCGAGCCTTTTTGCATGGTGTTCCCCTGTCGTCTATTGCTGGTCTGCTGACGCATGGTCTTTTTCTGCTGCTTCACTTGCCCCTTCGCCCTTTCCCGAGCGATTTCTGTTTGGGCAAGGACACGGGAGTCGTTCTGGTTGGCAAGAATTTGCCAAACCTCACGTAGGCGGCGAAAAGACGCCTTGGAGAAAAAATGTCTTTTTTTAAGCAGACGCCCCTTTACCACATCAGCAGCACAGTGGGCGGGTCAATTGCGACAAAGGCAAACTAACAGCTAATTTGAGAGTCACACTGTACAAGCCAGCGAGCGCAAAAGAAGCCGTGACTACAAAGAAGCAACCGCTAGCGCGGAGGCCCTTATTGCAAGACAACTGAACGCAAGGCCAGAAAAGTGAGTCCCCACACAAGCGCCAGGGCCGTAGCAAAGCATAGCACTCAGTGCCTTGTTGCGGCTGAGCCGACAAGTAAAGTGTGAATGCACACCGAAAAGCCAAAGAGAAGTACAAGGCACTTCCTTGGCTCTCGCTCTACTGACAAAGGCGCGCAATAAGCAACCTCAGCTCAGTCTCTGTCCTAGCTGCCAAGCTTTGTCGGCCTGCAGGGCTTTATCACGCAGGTGAGGCACGTGAAGAACTGCTTCGAGCAGCTCCCGGTTTTCACGATCGAAAGGACGCAGGCTGGCATGATGGGCCTGCAGCCTTACAGGCGCACTAGGCACTTGCAGCGAAATGAAGGAGCAGCCTGCAGGGACTGCAATGCGCACAAGGCCCAAGAACCAAGCACCAGTCGAACTGGGAGGCTGACTTGTGGCACATGCTTCCAAACAAGAGATCTGACAATGATGCTGGTCGCAGCTTCCCCCAGGTCCTAGTCAAGCAGGCTTTCTTGTTGGGCCTGCACACAGCGTGCGCGAAGCGCAGCAAAAACGTGTTCCACTCAGCTGAAAGAAATCAAGCAGTCCACTATCCCTGAAAACTTGCTTAGAGCCGGCAAGACACCTCGTCAGGACTGCAGGTAGCTTCCTTGTTATTGGACTTAGATTGCGCTCTAGAGCTGATTCAGGAGTTCGTTGAGCCTTACCGCTCAGCTTTTGAGGCTCATGCAGCTGGGGCACCCCTGGGACTGGTTCTTCTTCGGTGTCGAGGGTCTAACTTCGAACTTCTGGGGTCTTCGTTGCCCAGTCTGTACCCAACCTTCGCTGGCCCTAATTGCCCTTTTCACCCTTTTGGGGTTTATACGGGGCTCATTGGCCACACTTCGGTTCTTGGGTTATAGTGTACGCCCTAGGCCTAACCCTTTGATCGTTCATCCTGACCCCGAACCGCCCACGCATTTTGGTGACCGGCGTCTCGCTTTGTACGAGCGAGGAAGATCCAGAGCTCACCCAGCTACATCTGGACATTGAAGGCCTCTCCTTGAGGCTAGCGACAGCTCGCAGCTCGGGCCTCCTTCCCTCTTCCACGGCCTGCTGCCTCCGCCGCCCCTAATAATCCCGAACCCGTGCTTTCCGGTGAGCCTCTGAAAGGCCCGGCCCATAATACCCTAAGCACTGCCTTCTCCACAGCTGCCGCCTCCGCCGCCTCCCCTAATAATCCCGAACCCGTGCTCTCCGGTGAGCCTCTGACAGGGCCTGGGCCACTGCCTCTTCCACCGCCGCCGCCCCTAATGATCCCGAACCCGTGCTCTCCGGTGAACCTCTGATTGGCCCGGCCCATGATACCCGAAGCACTGCCTTCTTCCACACCTCTCCTTTGCCGCCAAACCCATTGGCCTGATGCTCCTTGGAGCTCCAAGCAGCCGAGACCGGCGAGATTGAGATCCTAGTGCCGGATTCTCACGCAAAGGAAGAGCTTGAGGCTTCTTGTTGTGTGCCTGCAGCTGGTGTAGCCGAACCGGCCCGGGAGGCTGCGGAGGCCCCAGGCTATGCGGGCCTAGTTGGGCCATCGATGCTTGCTACAGCTCTTGCAGTGGGTCTCTTGGACACGGGCGATTGGGTTTAACCTGCCACTCCCTTTGTACCTTTTGGACTTTGTCTGGCCGTCGAGGTCGTTGCAGCAGCTCAGGCACCTTCCGGGAGAAAGAGGTGCCAGTGGTTACGTGACAGCCACAGAAGGCGAGCAGGCCGAGGATGTGGAGCATGGGGCTCTGCCAAAAGCTGCCCGTCAAAAAGTAGGCACCAAGGCAGACCACAGGGTGCCTCCCAAACCGAAGCGCCAAACTTTCGCCAGCCTTACCGACCAGCACACCACCTGCGAAACCTCGTGGAGGCTCTTGCTTTGCAGGTCCAGGCGGTTGCGCAGAAACAGGACCAGTTGCTGGGTGCACATTCGGGCCCCCCGGACCCGCTGGGAGATGCTGGCAACTCTGCCACCGCCGAGCCTCTTCTTCCTGCCGCTCGCCCTCTGTTGCGGAGACCGCTGTCAAGGGTTCCTCCTCTGCAAGCCACGCCGAAGAGGCTGGCCGATGTGCTGGGCCCGCCTCCTCCAGTAAGGGTGCACGCGTCACAGCTTTCAGAAGAGGAGCCCCTGCCTGGCATTTCCACCGAAGAGCTCGTAGAAGACACCAGCGGCAATGCCCTTGCTCAGGCCATGCTCCTCCAGGCCCGGGCTCTGACCTTACTCGTGGGCCAGATCTCGACGGCCAGCTCCGACCCCCTCACAGACCTTCAGAGCACCCAAAAGTCTTTCCACGAAGGGGACGCTTGGACGTCAAAAGCTGCAACAAGAACTGGCCCAACGGACGGCAGCTTCTTCGAGCGCGCCTACCAAGCAGCAGCCAGACGGATGGATCCAACTGTGTCAAGTGCCCAAGCCGCCGAGCTCTCCCAGCAAGGTCCCGTGATGCAGAGATACCTGGAAAGGTATGGAGGCTTCAGCAAGAACAAGGAGCTGGGCCTTATCCAGTGGCAACTCACCCTAGCCCTGGACCTGTTCGCCAAGAGAGAAGCCAAGGGTGCAGATACGATAGCCCAAATCATGATTATGGTGAAGCAATGGGCATTGGACGGCCGGAGCGATCTGGCTTGGCTGTTAACGTTGCAGCCAGATCCACCGAATTCAGTCTTCCAGGACGACCAACAGATTGGCGCAAGCTCTCTCAGGCCTTTCAGCTCCCTGGCCGACCAGAGAATCATCGCTACCACTCTCGCCTACGTAAAAGAGCTGGATGCTCTTACAACAAAAGGGCAAAGTTCTCAAAGCCGAAGAACCAGCAGCCGTCTGCACCCCGGGTGGACCCCCCGGCGGCTCAGAGGACTTTAGGGGCTAAGACTCCTTTGCCCAAGAGGAGGTCCTGGAAACTGCAGTGCTTCAATATACTTTCCAACTGTAGATTTAAAAGTTTGCATTCACTGTCTTGTAAACAAGTTGCATTGGACTTGCTCTTGCGGCTGCAGCATTTTGGCTGAATTTCAGTGTTTTTTCCGCGTCCTCGAGTTTGAGGTTTGTTGATGCGTAGGAGGTAGTTCTGGCCGCCAAGTGCATCTAATGGAAAAACTAGGTCTGCTCGAGTTGCCTTCAGTGAGGGGAAGTCAAGGGGCCACTGGCGAGTCTGTCGTCTTTGTCCCTGCGATTGGTCTTTTGTGGCACGCTTTTGTTCTTTGAACCAAGAAAGAGGCATTGACGGGCCAACGGAGTT